TTGGCAGTAATGGGAATAGATGCATTCGAACATCAGATGGTAGTTGTCCAATAAGTAAACAAATCAGTGTATCCTGGACTAACATTTCTCATGCGATTTTATATGCATTGAGAGTAATGTTCAAAGCTAGACAAAAACGATTGCCCATTTTCATTAACACATCAGATCTCCTTACATGCATGAAATATCCAAATAAAGCGATTTTCTTTTCATAATATAAAGCAAACTCAAAATACGATTATCATAAATCCCAATATGAAATAAATAAATGTTCCAACACTCCATTTGTTTCCAAATTCAACTGGGTATTACCAGAGCATCGACTTTCCGGACAGGAAGTGCACCGTTTCCGAGATCTGAGGCCGCATCAGTTGTTCCAAGCGCCCACAGCACAGATGTGATCCCACTGTGGACATCCCAAGCTCGAAACTGAAGAACCATCGTAGAGAGATCTGTGTTGTTGTGAACATATACCTGACTCGTTCCATCTCTAACTAGCCAGGTATCAGCGATGTCAGCCACACTCCTGTCTATGTGCACAACTACTGACTCCACAATGGTGTTCATCATTATGTCCTGGGCTTCAATCCAGATTTCATATGATTCACCATCCGTTAGATTCAGACCAAGGCTCAGAGATTGGTTGGTAAAATCTGGAACTGATTCCCATGACGTTATTGAACCATTGTTGAGACTCCATTTGTACTTGAAACTTGTGATGCCATTGATACTCACAGTACCGGTGACAGGTAAAATGCCCGTTACTTGATCATATACACCTGATATACCATTGCCTGTGTCTTCTTTCACTTGGCAAAAATAGTTATTGTTTATGTAATAATTATTATGATAACGTTCATTCCATTCTAACTGAATGTTCCCATGGTGAATTTGCCAAGTATATGTAGTATCCTTTGACGCAGATATGACCCTCAATACTCGAGATGTCCTAACCTCAAGTTTAGATGAATTATCGTACAGCAGAAAACGTCGTGCAAATCTGACATTTCCAGCAACATCGTGGACTTCCACATATGTTACATACATGGCAGGCTCTGATGGGAGTGAGACTGTGATGTTCACACTGTTTCCGGTCAGCTGGCTTGATTTAAACACATGGTTACCATGGTCCACATCCAGCGTATCAGGGCCAAGGTGTTTCATACCATAAATATCCATCCTAAAATACTTTATTCCTGAGGCTTGTTCCTGTTTTCCAGACTCAGGATAGGGGTCTACCCAGCCTGACACACCAAGAGTGATGTTAGGGTATTTAGTTGCTCTTGTGGATAGGCGCATGGGGCTGTCAGAGGAACATGGAAATCTTGGATCTGTTGTACAGTGAACTGGGACAGCATTGTCGTATCTAAAGCAGATGATCTTGCTTTCGGGAAGCGGTGTAAATCTCTTGTTGCCAACGATGTCTCCTTTGAAGTTTTTGTAATCAAATGAACCCCCAGAAAACACCTTAATTAGACCACATAACCTGAAAGTATAATTTCAAATGTGTTGTTTTTTATTTACATGACACGTTTAATGATGATTATGTATCTGAGAACGTATGATAGTATCTGTATATTCGATTTATCTGCATCAGTTATCCAATAAGTGGACAGATGACAACAAAATGAATGAACATTAAACAATTATTTACCATTAGTAAATATCAACTTTAGTTACGCGGAGATGAACATACAGTTACACAAGTTACCATTCTCCATTTTGCAGGGAGGATGAACCAAGCAGTACTCTGTCACAGGACATAAGAGGTGAAGGTGTTAAAGACGACATTGTCTTGTTGCAGTTGCCACCTCCCCTCAACGTGGTGGCAGATAAAATGTGTTGTCTACCTTCAACATGTAAAGATATTGATTGAGACACTCTCGCCTTCAGGGATCAAGAAGAAAATATCCTTTTTGTGACCACCTAGTAATGTAACTTATTAAAAGTGACTCATAAAGAAATGGTTCTGATGTTGTCAAATTATTCGATAAACTCTCGATAAACACCTAACTGCTTGGGTTATTTTTATATTGGATGCTCTCATGGGCCGTCACCAGTGATCAATCTAGTAGCGTAAAAAAATATATGGATATGATTTTGTGGCGAATATCACCTTTCCAAGACAGGTACATAAACATAATTCCCGAGGAAGAGAACATAATTATGGGAAAGTGACTTAAATTACCCGGCACAATGGGACACCAGTGAGGGACAAATATGTTCAATTTGCTGGCTTGAAGACTTGTTTATCTATACTATAATCTACATTGGGATCTCACCACAATAATACAAAGATTAAAAGAATTTCATTTTCTGTAGGTTAGTCAATCATGTGGAATCACTAGCAATCATTTCTTGAGGTATATACATGTATATTATACAGTTGTAAACAAATTAGCTTGAAAGCCATAACATAATATATTTTATTTCATTCAAGATGGTGAAGCACAATAGCCACTCAGGACCCATTAGACAAAGAGAAACTTCACAAAATGTAATTTGAAAAATAATGAACAATTTTTCTCTGATGATACATCTATGTATCCGAAATGGGATCCCTATCTTTCCACTCTAGAAAAACGTTAGCAAGACCCACTCAAACCCATCCATTCCTCGTGCAAATGACGTTAGTGCCAAATCAGGTTTTGCACGTGCAGTCGATCACGTGATCTTCGCATCGAAGTTTTCTTCAAAACGTGTTTGCATGGGCCTCAAGAATTGAAAAAACACTTTTAAACCACAGTTCTAACGGTACTTGAAATGCCACGATTGTCAAATGTGCAACGTGAACGTGCCGTTGGCATGTTGCAAGCGGGAAGATCAGTTATTGACGTCGCAAGAGCAATGGGATGCAGCCGTCGTACTGTGTATGACTTGCTAGGTCGTCTACAACAAACTGGCACCACTTCTGATCGCCCAAGGTCGGGTCGTCCACGTGTGACGTCACGAGCAGAAGACCGTCAAATCGTCCTACGTCACCTACGTGACAGATTTCTGCCGGCTACACGAACCAGGGCTGAGATCTTTAGAGGTCGACTGTCCTCACAGACCATTCGAAATCGTTTGTGGGCTGCCAATCTCCATTCTCGACGTCCATATCGTGGGCCAATATTGACGCCGTTTCATCAACGTCAGCGTCTGCTGTAGGCCGAACGTCACCTCCTATTGACCCAGAGAGACTGGAATCGAGTCGTCTTTAGCGATGAATCCAGGTTTACCCTCAGATTCGCGGACGGCAGGCATAGAGTCTGGAGACGACATCGTGATTGGCAGATTCAGGGGCGGAAGTTGCATGGTCTGGGGTGCTTTCTGTGGGAACAACCGTTCCCGACTTCTGGTCATCCGTGGAAACCTCACATCTGTTGCTTACCGCGACCAGGTACTCACCCCTAAACTCGTTCCTTTCATGGCGGCTCATGGCCCAGGTCTACAGTTCCAGCATGATAATGCTCGGCCGCATACAGCGATGTTGACACGAAATTTACTTCAAAACGCTGGAATCAACGTCATGGACTGGCCAACGTATTGGATTAAGGATTAAGGCCATCGAGGTCCCCTGACCTTAATCCAATAGAGCACGTTTGGGATGCACTTGGGAGAAGGCTTCGTGGTCTTAGGAACCAACCTCAGAATTTGCAGGAACTTGGCGCTGCCTTGCAAGAGCAATGGCGCAGAATCCCCAACCACGTAATCACAAGCATCAGGCAGTTGATGAAGAGACGGTGTTTGGCATTGGTGAATGCGCGGGGCGGCCATACACGATATTGAACTGAGAAATTTCGCATTTTTATTCTTGTGACTTGACATTCTGTATACCCATGTTTTGGAACGGCGATGTAGCCTAATGGAACTGATTATGTCACTGTCAGTGTATCGAGTACATCACACAGATCTCAGCAATGAAATACTAACAATTTAACCCTCTTACCATCTTTTGTTCTTTTATAGGGCCCTGAAGAAAGAATGTGAAGTTTCACTTTTTGACTCAGAATAGATCATGAACGCCTTTTTCAATCAAATATGGTTAAGTGACGTTAAATGTACCCTCCATTGATAGATAGAGGGTCACGGTTTTTTACAGTTTATGATCCTGACGAGACAACAAAATCAAAATCAAATTCGAACTGATTATGTTTCAGGGTTTGATGCATCAGACCCGTTCTCAAGCAACATGCAAGAATCACTTCACACTCTCCTTCCGCAACCAAGAATCACCCCGTTTTAACCGTTCAAAATGGTGTTTAATACATCTCACTCACTCGGGCGGTGTTAAGGCGTTCCCCCGTCACGCTGTAGACCCAAGTTAGATTCCCCACATGGGTACAATATGTGAAGCCTATTTCTGGTGTCCCCCACCGTGATAATTCTGCAATATTGCTAAAAGCTAAAAACTAAACTCACTCTCACTCACTCACTACATATTGATCGGATGCAATAGTCAATTCTACCTGAGAGATCTTTTCTTGTAACTGTCAGGTTACTGTCCACGACGCCGATATAGGTTCTGTTGATGTATACAGGCGGAGTTGATAATACTTTTTTATGAAACTCAGCTGTTATTCTGAAAGACATTGACTCAGGTTGTATGTTGATATATACGTCTGTCTGTGAATAACAGTCTGTGGTGTTGCCAATACTGGTACTGTTCCTGACCTCATGTCTGTGGTCTTCTATTCCAACGTTGCAAGTGAGCAAATCCGCCTTTGTGGTGACTAGAACATAAGATATTTGAGTGTTTGTGTGGATACAGGCAAACATATGCGTAATGCAGTTTAAGCGACTATTTTTGAAATCACACGAGGAGTGGTAAGGCAATGAATGAATGCAGCACCCAAATTGCGAGCTATGATTTTGAAATCCAGTCTAGTTGATCGCTAGTCACCAAATTCAATCATTACAACTTTAAGATTATTGATATCTCAAAGGCAAACCATGGACTAGCATCGTGATACACGTCTCTCCATCTACTGCGGACAGGATTCAACTGTGATGAGTTCTCAAATCGTGAAGCACTCACTGTCACAGGTGGAGTTCCCTGACTTCCTGAATCCACTTTCACACGAGCAGGATGTCATCAGACCACTGGAACAGTTGCCAGGCCAACACCACCTGTTGTCCACGTATGAGCAGGTGACTGGAATATAGATAGAGTGGTATTGTTTATTGGGTGACCATCAATTATACTACACATAAATTTGACATATGAGCATTAGATGGAGTTCATGTTCGTTATGATTTCTGTTGATTGATTTATATGTAATGTTTTAACAGCATCATCCAACTGGAATACATAAAAGGCCCAAAACAAACCTAAAACCTTCCTGCAATGGTAGAATGTAGTCGAATTATCAGTAAACAAAATAATCTCTTTTGAACGTTTGGCTTACATATTTGTTATCCTTAGGAACTGATGCATATGTAAAGATTTTGTGAAATTCAGTACTCGAGACTCCATGTGAGTGAAGTCAATCATTATCAAACAACTTATTGGTGATCTTGATTTGTAGGGTTATGCACATTTTTAACAAGTTTTAGGGTAGCTTTAATGATGAAACTCACGGTCACATCTCTCCTTGTCTGGACTAAGCCACTGCAATGACATTTCAACTGTACTTCCCATATCCTGACAAGAACCTGGAATGCGAAATGTTTCTGTCAGATAATCACGTCCTGCTTGACTGTGTTGAATTATACATCATAAGGGATCAATATTTCAAAGAAATTGATTATATGGTGAATTTTGATTAATATGTTCTGTAGTTAGATGTATTTTAATGATTGGTAGTTTAGATAAGTAACTTGATTGTTGGTGGCTGTACCCTCAAAGGGGTTTAAAGTACTGTGAATGTTTTGCCCGAAACATTTAAAGTAAATTTGAACTTACCACATTTTAAATGTAGAACTTCTGTTATTTTATTTTAGGCTAAATTTCCTACAATAGCCAGTGGCTCAAGGGGTGGTGTAAATCCAGTTAGGGTCCATGCAGGTGGCAAAGGTACGATAAGTCCCCATGGTCCCTAATGCGGTGATCTACCTTGAGTTGCTGGTGATCTCTAGCCCAATGTTTAAATATTGAATTGCGTTTAATGCGTTTAATTTTACAGTTACATGCTAGTGTTAATTCTCTATCTGTGATAATCTAGTTATTTTACTGTCCTTCGTCGACAGTTTTTTACGATTTGATTGCATTTGTTATGAATTTGTAATTTGTTAAAGTCACTTTGTGGCTAAATATTGCCGATGTGACTACAAACCTTAACTCACTCACTCACTCACGAAACGTCGTGCTCTAGAATTAAAGATAATGTCACCCATGATTAAATCACTTGTTCTATCTGACTTCCAACTTCTAAAAACGCCACTCAAAGAAGTAATCACGTTGTACGTTAAAATAAACTTAATAAGCGCAAAGAACACATAACAGGTGTAACTAGTGAGCCAGATGAATTGTGAATCATTTTACGACCTCATGAAACAAGGGCAGTCTGTGACATATTAGCTAACGTCATGCTACCTAAACCTCGCCATAAAATATAGAAATACGATATTTTTTAAGTTTAAAATTAACATTTATTTGTAAACACCATTTTCTTATGAAACAAGGAATTGGAATGTCCTGCAACCAGAATCGTTTGTTTTGTCTCTTTTCACTTTCACACGAGAAAATTCGGATCAGCTCAAAAGTAGGTCATTAATTAATCAAGATGTCAATAATTCTAATAATATTCTCAATGTACAGGGTCACCCTGCTTGATTTTGATTTTGAGAAGGAATCATATTTTCAATGTATCTTGAAGAGGTGTTTTATAGTATCTTGAAGAGAATGTTTTTCCCACTCCAGGGTGGATCTGTCCCAGGAGTTCCTATAGTAAATTAAATCTATCTGATATTGAGCAGAGATGACTGATTTCGAAGATCATTGTGACACCGTTTATGAGTAGGAAACAACTAGAATTAGAGGGGTAGTCCACATGATTAAACTTCTGCTTCTGGGAAGGTGGTGTTTCTTATGTGTTGCCAATACACAAGGATCTAAATATAAAACAGGTTGTATTTCGATGTCAGATAGGTAAATCAGTGGAAAGCAATTTGACAGTTAATGGACGATATCAGATCACCTGCTATTCCTGAAGCTAAACAAAATTCCATTAGCACGGATGATGTACTTCGTGTCAAAACGTTTTAATACACATTATCACATAGATGTCAATATGAAGGTTCAGAAATGAGAATTGATGACTTGATGGCACTCTTTAACTTGAAAAATTAAGAAGTCGCAACGTACGTGCACATATTGTTTTCCCTCCAGATAGTTTGAAGATGACGTTGTTCTTAGTGGGTGGATCACAGGCATCACAGGTCAGACAAGGCTGTGTTTGACAGTTTGGAATGACAGGACACCCTGTGACGAAACAAGAAAATATGCACTGCATTGGACTTAACCTTAACAATTATCAAGGTCTTTATGAAAGATTTTACATGGCATTCAGCGCAGATATATTTTCATTTTTTCATGTTGTCTACTGTATCGCAAAGAATGTGGATTCCGCTTTTACAAGAAAAATCAACTCACTGTCACATTTTCTTTTGTTTGCAGATAATCTGAAGAAAACATCCTTCGAGCGCGACTTGCATGTTGTACAGGTTCGACAACGCTGTGTTAGACAGTTGGATATACCCGGGCAAGCTTGAGAGAAAAGAGGTTATTCAAATCACACAAATACGTGACACACATACGAAAACGTCTTTGGTTTTTGTTGCGATTTTCAAATTGTTTCATAAAGGGCGACCTTTTTGCTCCGAAGGTCGACAAACTCTCGCTTCCGGTCTGGTTCCTTACACAATGCGCACTGCGACAATGTTCCACATGTAACAACTGAGCCCATGCGTTGCCTTGCTTCACCTTCACTGAAAAAGCTGCTTAATAAAGGCGTATATATACCTTTAACTGAAACAGTTGTGATATGATTGTAAGGTTAGAACACATCTGTTCAGACTTCAAGTGTACTACAAACTGGACACGATGAGATAACAGGGAAAACACCATGAAAGAATTGTTATTTTGTATGTCATTTCTTACGTTAAAACAGGGGTCATTGTAATTTTCGGGCAACTTTGCATCGCTGAAATAATGCAAATTCACTTCATTTAGCAGTCACTATGTTATTTACAGTTTCTTTAACTATTGCTGCATTAGAATGTAACAAATAGTTGCTATACTACCACTGACCTCAATATCGATAAAATAGGATATGCATACTTCGGCATCCTTTATCGAGGATTAATAAATACTTCTAATAGTAACTATACTAGGCACATAAAGAAACTGTACATTGTCAAAATATTATCCCAGTTGAAAAGTACGATAACAATGTCAAAGGAACATATTAACTTTAATGGAGGGATCATGAGACCATAACAAGTCGGGAGAATTTCAATTGAAAAGTAGTCAATCACAATGACGTCACGAGTCCACAAGCGGGACACGGGTCCAACGACCATGTCACAAGCTCAATAACGGGTATGTCCACCATCGGCATTGAGAACAGCAGTGCATCGACGACGCATAGAGCCTATCAAACGTGCAAGGAAGGCTTGTGGGATGTCACGCCAGATTCTCTCAAGTTCTGTTGCAAGGTCAAGGACGTTATCTGGCGGATGAGGAAGACGGCGTAGACGTCGATCCATCTCGTCCCAAACATGCTCTATCGGGGAGAGATCCGGTGAATTTGCAGGCCAAGGCAGTAAGTCAACGTTGTGGTGTTGCAAGAAATCCACAGCAACCCTTGCCGTATGAGGGCGGGCATTGTCCTGTTGGAATGTTAACCCAGGGCCATGACGTTGCAGAAAAGGAATTGCCACAGGTCGAAGAATCTGATCCCTGTAGCCCACACCAGTTAAGTTGCCCTGAACAATCACCAAAGGAGTTCTTTGGCGTGCTGTTATTCCACCCCAAAATCATCACGGAACCACCACCAAAGCGATTCCTCTCCAAGACACAGGCCTGTGCATAACGTTCTCCCACGCGTCTATAGGCACGTTGACGTCCATCACTATGGGAAATGTTAAACCTGGACTCATCTGTAAAAACAACATTTCTCCACCAAAACAAGTGTCTGCGGACATGATTTCGGCACCACATTCGGCGAGCTTGTCGATGACGTTGTGTCAGGATAGGCCGTATGGCGGGACGTCGTGGTCTGATCCCGTGATGACGTAAACGTTGTCGAACTGTGTTGGGGTAGATACGGCGAAGTCCTGGGATGGTTCGGGCAGTCATCACTGCAGTCTGAAACCTGTGGCAAAGATGGGTCACCCTTATCCATCTGTCGTGTCTTGGCGTTGTTACACGTGGACGTCCAGAACGTGCCCGATCGATGACGTCGTTTGTGTTCTGGTAGCGTCTCATCAGTGCAGAAATGGTGTTCCGGTGGCAGTGGAAATGTGCAGCCACTTGTCGTTGAGACATTCCCCCACGGACCATCCCAATGGCCTCATGACGTTGAGCAGACGTGAGCCTTGGCATGCTATGCGTTTCAATAGCCGTTTAATTTTTTGAACGATCGCAAGGGCAGGGGTTGAGCTTTCCAAAGTGACAGTATTGTGTGGTATTCATTTGCTCTGTTTCGATTTTCCCGGAATGCACGTGCAACAACGTATTGCACGTCTCAAGGACGAACCCACTGCCGTCACGGATCGTGGCACGTGCATGCATGTTGGATACATGTTACTAATCTCTGAGTTTAAATCCTTATGTGTCTACACAGGTTTGATAAATTTAGATTTTAAATTTTTGTATGCACAGTTTCTTTATGTGCCTAGTATATTTTTCCATCACAAGGGATACGTATTTCAATGTAAAAACAGTTCAGGACCTTTTTACTAGTGTTAATTATCATTTAATCATTGACTTGTTAAAAGAAATAAGGGATACAGATAATGATTTCAATGTCAAAACAGTTAAGGACCTTTTTACTAATGTTAATGATCATTTAATGATTCACTTTTTGAAAGAGTTGTTAGAGAAATCTTGATTACAGTAAATAGATAAATATTTTATGATTAGTAGTTTAAATAAACAACTGAGATTGTTAATGACTGTATCAGCGAAGGGGGTTAAAGTACTGTAAAGTTATTGTCCTCCTGAGGGGATACGTAAGTCCCAAAACAATTATAGTAACTTTAAACGTACTACTTGATTTTAACTGAAGCATATATGTTATTTTAAGTTACTATCAAAACATCTGAAGGGATGGAGCAAACCCAGCTAGGGTCCAAGCAAGATGCAAATGTACTGTAAGTCCCAATGGTCCCTAGTATGGTAATCTACCTTCAGTTGTTGGTTAAATATTTGTGATTCTGTCAGACATCTTTCTATGTATGGGCCGACAGAATTCACACGTTGCATTCAAGATATTTCACATTTCGAGTACCGCATCTTCTGACCCCTGTATTCAATTACATGCACATAACGTAATTTGACAGAGATTTGCGTACGTATACAATGAAAATATGCGTCTGGTTTAAAGTGGGATATTAAAAAACTAGGACAATTCCAAAATTACCGACAACAAAACGTTCAACAAAACGCCAAAACATGACCTGTCACGAACAATCAGCGGATCCCATCGCTTTGCTTCGAGCGGCCACCAGGTGAATCAATACTACAATATATGCAATCATGGTCATCCTGGATGTATTATGGAGTCACTGAACAAGAATTTCAGTACAAAAAACTAGATATACCATGGTTTAGGTCAAAATATGTGCTGTCCTTACACCAACTGGAACGTTACCGATAAAGGTGAAGGCTGCACTGGTTAACTGTCTGTAAGTGTGATACTAACACGTACCGCTGGCATCGCGCATACGACTTGTTTCAGGTTTAAGGCTTGACCGCCCGGATCAGAGCACTTAGCGGTTTAGTTAGGGAGAAATAAATTGAAGAAGATCGCCCAGTAAACTATATTTTTATGAACCAAAATATTGAACTGTGCAAACGTAATGCTGTTACAATAAGTATGTGCCTACCTGTGCCATGCCAGAGGTCTCGACCATTGTCTTTTCCCTTGAACCAGCAGTCACATCTAAATTCATATTTTACACTCGATTCAGAACGTTCATAAATGTGCACCTGTCAAACAAAAGAGGTGTCAGATGATTTCTACATGTGACCTGTAACGAAGGTATCCATAGTCCGTAACTCCTGGAAAGACGCCAACACTTGATGGAAGCTCGAGAGTAGTGAAGATCCATTGCTTAAGGTTTTGTGCATACAATCTACAAGTACGGAGAAGAGCAAGATGGTCAAAGTTCGTCTCATTGGAGTCACTGACAGACTTTAACACACAATTTAGAATTAGTGGTGTTCCCTGTGACAGATTAGTTATTCATTCCACCTTTTCATCGATCGGAGTTTCAGCAAAAGGGAACAGTGTGAACACAAGCGCGTCTAAAAGAAAACACCCAAGGAAGCTGGGAATACAATTATACATTACCCAGTCTAACTTCCAGTTTGGATTATATCCGTTCCCACTAGTCCATATCCTGAAACAAACGATAGGCTTTGAATATGATTTGACAACAAGTGTAATCTGGACACAATGTTGGCCTATATGAACACGCTGGATTTCTTAATTTGTATTAAAGGCTAATTGGCCCCCAAGTGCCATTATATTCAATCTATTTAACATTCAACAAACAAACAAAAGGCGGAACATTTTACATAAACATATTTGAATTCCTGGATACTAACGAGAGGACATGTGTAATGCACTAAAGCTGAAGAATTGCAATAGCAGTATAGTGAGTGACTGAGTATGGTTTTACACCGCTTTTCTTACAATATTCCAGTAATAATACGGCCGGGGAGACCAGAAATGGGCTTCACACATTGCACCCACGTGGGGAATCGAACCCGGGTCTTCGGCATGACGAGCGAACGCTTTAACCACTAGACTACCAGCACCGCCCCGCAGTAGCAGTATAAAATAACATAACCGTAGTAATAGCAAGAAAGTCACCCAAGTCAAATATTCACCTTGAAGCGACAATGCTATTTGAAAAGAGACATGGGATGGGTTTTTTCAGGTTGACAGAATGACAATACAACCGTATGATGTAATGTGAGAAGATAGAGACATGCGCTTGTATGCGCTTGTCCATTGTATATCGTATATAGTATTTTGACTCTTCCCGAATGATCTGCTGGATTGGTATGTAGCATAAACGTTTCAAACTAACCACCATTCTCAGTGAACTCAAGCTGGGGTCCATGCAGGAGGCAAATGTACTGTAAGTCCCAATGGTCACTAGTATGGTGATCTATCTTCGGCTGTTGGCAATCTATAGCCTGTTTTATATTGCATTGTCTTCTATAGTTAAATGTTATGGATGAGGTTGATGTACATAGTTGGAATGAAACAGGTAATGTACACAAGAAATATTATTGATTATTTTATCAAGTGATGCTAGGCATTGGAAATGTATTATCCTTCATCTCTGTTGAGGGCGGGTCCTATCTTCTTGATGTGTACTGCTCCCAAAAGTTTACGAATTTTGTAGTCTGACTGGTTCTTTACAATGGTTTTAGTCTTGTCCCATTTGATGGTGTGGTTAGGATGGGCTTTGATGTGGTCGGCAATGGCTGATTTAGAAACATGTGTCCTTACTGAAGCCTGGTGTTCCTTGATCCTGAGGGTGAGTGGCTTTGATGTCTCTCCAACATAGGGGTCACCGCAGTCACATTCTATGTGGTAAACCACACCTGAGGGGTATTACACTATTTCTGTTGACATTCAGTTGGGGGCAGCCATCCTTTTGGAAAACACGTACCGATCTTCCTGTTATTTCTATATTCAAATCGGTCCTCCAGACTCATCGAAGCTATTCGGGTATGGCAATTAGTGAGCATTCCAAATTTTAAGATTATGTTACTTTGAAGAATATCGAAAATATTGCTTTCAAGAACACCGACCCCCCTACAAGCTCTGAACCGTGGTGTCAACACATGTTTGGGACGGTGATCGTATTGACGCGTCTAATCCAAGTATCTCCCATTGAATATTACTTCTTCATGCCTACATGTACGTCTGTGTCGAAACCTCATGACTTTACTGAATGCTCTTGTGATGCTATCTAGTTTGCATGTTCATCCTCGTCTTGATATTCCACAAACGTATATCGTAAATGTAGTTACACCCGATATGTGTTGTAAGTTACAGCTGTGTTAAGTATTGCGGTGGTATTGCATGCATTACAGAAATGTGGCGAATGTGTAAGAAAACGATTATAGCACGTGTGCTTATCATATGGCATTTAGTTTCCTTCTGTCAATTCGTTCTTCAACGTGTATCTAATTCGCTTTTGTTCGTAAGATACATTTCTACTTCTTATGCTTTACGTATATCAATTATCTCATATTGCCAAAGAATGGTCCAATATCAAGTTTCTATTTCCATTTTCCCCACCTGAAACAAGCCGAGACGGCCTCAGCTGTTTCATATAAAGATGAAATACATGAACATTCAAAATGACGAAAACATAACATGGCCACCAAACTATACGGCATCAGGGATGACTCCAACGTTCCAACAGTTAATGTACCTTTCATCAGAGCAATATATACGCAGCCCGTGCCTTTAAGGTCTTTATTTAACAACTGCCTGTGTTTTGCAGTAAAATGGATAATGCTCTTTCAAAAACAAACTTCATATCACTCTCGCTTAAATGTTGTGTGATAAGAGCTGATGCTCGGATTTGCTCAGGATTTGAAAAACAATTGTCAGACATATCGAAGTTAATCTGCTGTTTAAATAACTATCTATAACACTGCTTGCAACTGGGTAATATGAGACTGTCACGCTACTTCGATTGGTTGAATTCGAGTTTATAAGCACCTTTTGACGAACTCATTAATTGCCGCCGTGTTTTCTCTTCTCATTGTCTCACTTTGTTTAATTAAGAATGCCTATTACAACTAAACTGAGGTAAGTACAGAATTCTACCAACATTTGGTTCACATGGCTCTATTCTTCTGCAGGGATTTCAAGTTTAGATGATCATGCGTTGAAAGGCAGTATACATTAACAGGATCACATGAATTGTTCAACGCCAGATGAAATGCTTATTTACGTTAACAAACGGTTAATTTTTGCAAAATGCTAACTCCGAGAGCGCGTCAGTAGCAAATAAACGCTGGCATTGATCTCAAATTCAAACCCAGCTGGGGTCCATGCAGGTATCAAAAGTACTGTAAGTACCTACGCTCTCTAGTATGGTGATCTACCTTCGGTTGTTGGCGATCAATACCCCATTTTCACATTGTATTGTCCAAAACAAGTTTCTATTTTTAAAGATACATGATAGCTATACTGAGTCAAAAAAGAAACTTCACAAAAAGGAATTTGAAAAATAATGAATAATTTTTCTCTGATGATACATCTATGTATCCGAAATGGGATCCCTATCTTTCGACTGTAGAAAAACGTTAGCAAAACTCACTCAAACCCATCCATTCGTCGTGCAAATGACGTTAGTGCCTAATCAGGTTTTGCACGTGCAGTCGATCACGTGATCTTCGCATCGAAGTTTTCTTCATATGCACGTGTTTGCAATGGGATGCAGCCGTCGTACTGTGTATGACTTGCGAGGTCGTCTACAACAAACTGGCACCATTTCTGATCGCGATGTTGACACGAAATTTCCTTCAAAACGCTGGAATCAACGTCATGGACTGGCCATCCAGATCCCCTGACCTTAATCCAATAGAGCACGTTTGGGATGCACTTGGGAGAAGGCTTCGTGGTCTTAGGAACCAACCTGAGAATTTGCAGGAACTTGGCGCTGCCTTGCAAGAGCAATAACTCACTTTGTGACAACCTAGTAATTTTACTGTCCTTCGTTGGCAGGGTCTTATATATTATATGTATGTATTATGAGAACTAGTTCAGTCACGATATGGCTGAAATATTGCGGATGTGACTTTAAATCTTAATTCACTCACTCACTCACTCACTGATTGATCTAAATTCAAGATGATAGGTTTGATTTAAATTTATGTGTTCTGTGATGACAAATCTCAACATAGATTGCAGTCTTGACTGAAAATGGTATTCAACAATAGACTGTGCTTTTCCAAATATTTGTATTAATGTGAATTGTTTACGCATATATATGTCACGTGACATTACACAGGTTATATTTTACCTTATACTCTGTATCCTTCCTATCTCATTGATACTGCGGTAACTGGTATCAACATCTCCTCTCTGAAAGCTTCCGTCCATGTTCATGCTGCTAGAGCTGCCCTTGTCGCCGGTAATTCTCATGGTGATGGTGGCCTTAGTACCTGAGTAGAGACTTCCACTTGTGCGTATTACAATCTTCAGACCTAGAAAAAAAACATGGCGCTGTTTAGTCTTCATAAACTTGCCAACACTACCTCACAGTTTATAAATCTCCATACATCTAGCATTTACTGGTTCGCGTTATCAAACAGATGCTATACCAAATTAAGATTTCACAAAGTTTACACTTGCGATGGGCTTCAAAAGACTTCACTCAGCAAAACGGGAGAAAAGTAGATATCAAAATCCAGTGTTTGACTGTGTTCAACAAGAACAGATTTATGAAAAATAGATAATTCTTAGATACTTTGATGACCCCTAAAGATCCGGGTTAGAATTGGTCTTCAGCAACAAATGCTTGTCTTAACAGGCGACTAACGCGCGGCTCTCTGGATTGGTTGACACATGTAAAGGACAACCAAGTTATAAAAATAGTCAACTTTAAAGTAGGACTAACTGAGTGAGTTTACTTTAACGCCGTACGCAGCTATATGGCTGAGGTTTGTAAGTAATCGAGTCACGACCAGACAGTCAAGTGATCAACAGCATGAGCATCGATTCGATCTACACAAGTGGGATACGATGACATGTGTCAAACAACTCAGCGTGACTGAACACCCGATCACGTTAGTCACCTCTTACGACAGGTATAGGATACTGAAGATCAATTCTAACCCGTATCTTCACGGGTCAACTTTAAGTTCCTGAAGAGGTTCAGGTAAATATATCTCACTTCGACTGGCCCGTCGTCGGTGTCGCCCAAGGACAGTATGCTGATCATGTGAAAACTCCCTTGAGCAGTGGAAGTGTGAAAACTGGCCATTTACATTGAGAAATTCTGGGATCCAGTCATACTCAAGAGCTCTGTCACCAAAAGGAATCTGTAAATGGGAAGATATTTATGACAAGTAACAGTAAACTGTGGGTATCATTGTATTATCAAGTGACCCATAACCGAAATGACGTCGTTTTAGCTCACCTCTATTTTTAATATATCTCAAAGTACGCCTTACCTCGAGGAAGACATGGCTCACATCTCTAAGATACCCACTCCTCTCACTGTAGATCACCGCGCCGTTATGAAGTAAGTTAAGATATGTTGATGTTTGGTTGATCGCGCACCCACCTATGCTCTGGGCGTGGTAGGAGCATAATCGGATGACTATCTGTGAAAAGAACAGGAAATAATAACAGTTTAATACAGGTAGAGGCATTATCTAAAACCAGGTTGGGGTGTCACTATACGTAAGGTAACTATATTGTGTTGAATGTAGCTTCACCAGTACTTACATTTATGTTCAGAGGCACATAGTTTTCCTTGATGAAAGGTTCATTTGGCCTCTGTGCTTTCACGACATAGACCCTGCTTAGAGACGTAGTCTCTGGTTCATCGGCTACCTATTGATAGAAAGAGGTATCTTGTATGTAGTAACCACTGCTTAATGTATCGTCAAAACCATGGTCATGAAGGCAGAAGTAAATTAATTTCGTCGTTTATTTTTCTGAATATCCATGGAACCTTTATCTGTAAAATAATTTACGTTGTTGATCACTGATCCTGTTTGTTTTTCACAAATCAGAGAAGATTATGATAAAGCCAATGCCAATCCTGCAAATTAAAGAGGCATGATTAAGTCATTGGAACCATATATTACATTTGTACCTAAAAAAAACAAATTTGATCGAGAACAAAGGATTCATTTACCTGAGGATCAACTGCCTGGTATGGTTTGCTTGTAGAGATGCAAGTGAATTTATAGGACGTGGAAACTGAAACAACGATTGATCAAGTGGAATTATTGGCTTGACAACCTGTCAACAAATTGCTGGGGGAATGTTCTCTGTTGAAACGGCCCAAACTTGATATATCCGAGTATACCAGGCAGATGTGAATGGTTATGCCAGCGAACGTGTGTGTTTGAATGTATCCGATTGCATGTAACCTCGTCCATCTGCAGATGAACAGTTCTTCGACGAGTTGGTATGGCTTGTATACGAACCTGCCGCACTTTCCGTAAAATAGTGTTGACCGGTCTACTCTGCCAACGCAGACTGCAGTGAACACGAACTGTACGTCGTGACAGCGACGTGACATGCAGAGAGTGCTCTTTACAGATGAAAGTCTGTTCAGAAACGATGGAAGACTTCGCTGGGTTTTTTTTAATCAGCGAGGAAATCAGCGATACAGGAATGAAGTGTTCAAACCTTTTGTGATACCCTTTATTCGACTACCGCCAAGAGGAGTCATTTTACAACAACGCAAGGCCTCACACATTCCACGTAATCCCATTCCATTTGCGTCAATAAAAGTTAAAAGCTTAATCTGTTTGTTATTTGTGCTTTACAATAACTTTTGACTTTATACTATATACTAACTTTAGAGTACGCTTTCATTTTCTTAAGCAATAACATGTGTTTACGATTGCGAATGTGAAGGAACTCGGCTCATCTTTTCACTTTCACTCACTATGAAAAGCTTGCCTTGTCCAATCAACATAGTAAAGGCATATGTGGTTTCGACCAAATTTCAAACAATAAACCCTGAACTAGTATAGTATACACAGTATTCAAGACTTTTAACGTCTGGAAGCGATCTGCCTGATTTGCTAAATTAGAACGTTTAGTTGATTAATTGAAGAAACACAATTATGGCATTTGAGTTTGACAACAACATATCATTTTGTAATTGACTATACTGGAGACAAAAGTGGAACTATTTTAACAGGGCCTTCATATATCTCTTACGTCAGCAAGGATTGGTCAACACACATGGTAGCCATGTCATTTCTCTCATTGCAACTTAGGCGACAAGTGTAACTTCCATATATTCAAACATGTGTGACAAATTCAGTCTCTCCTCAGGAAAAAACCTCGAGTAAAGCGACAACTACTTCACGCAGGAATATGACATTCTACCTTACAATGACAATGCATGGCAGTAATACCATCACTGCAATGCCCAGTACGTAGTTCAAGTACTATTGTTTTTTTTTTCATTTATCAAAGTAAATATTCGTGAAGATCAGGGTTCGAACTGATCTTATGCAACCCATGCCTGCCGCCAGAGGCGACTAAAGGGGCCGGGTGGCCAGGTTTGTTGACTTAGTTGACACGTCATCGTATTCCAATTACGTATGTCGATGCTCGTGATGTCAACCACCTGTTTGTCTTCTTCAGACACTTCGATTATTCATGGATCGGTGTAATAAAGGGGGAATAGTTTGGAGTGTTGCGTTGAATAAGAAACAAACAAAGTAAAAGTAAATGGTTGCTAACAACATTGCGTACTTTGGATCATCTGGTGGTGTTGGTTTAACTGTTGTGAGGTACTCCAAAACGTCAGGGATGATTTAGCATTTGGTTGAGAAACATTTCTCCAAAGCACACGGGCACGTATCACGATTTATGGTAATGTCCATTTGTATTTTCAGCACTTCGTTTATCCGTTAAAACTACACACACCAAATATGTCTATAAATTTAAACTACTAATAAATAACTCAACATGTAATTTACAGTACTCCACGAGCAAGAGTGAAACAAATACAGTTAATCTTTATCCAGTCGAACTTTAAGAGCTCAGATGTCACCTAGATCGAATGCTCGTTTACTTAAAAGACAATAGTTCCCACTGGTGATATGAAAAACACCCGATAAAAGTAACCGTTCACATTGGGGCATTGTTTGCGACACACTTATGTTTCTCCTTCAAGCATGTTAGCATATCCGTTGTCCAGACTACCAGTTGTCCGACTTCTTCTTTGTGGAATCCGTGCTGGCTGAGCGGGTTAGACTTCTGACTTTGTGTGCTGGCGATTAGGTGCCTGACTCTGAGGGTGTGGGTTCGAATCCCGGATGGGACTCAACCCCCAAAAGTACTTTGAAACTGTATTTTACTGCGAAAGTGTAACCTCAATGACCACCTAATCCCGTTAGTTGCCTCTTACGAAAAACATAGGTTGGTGAAGACCGAATTCCCCTAACCTGTGTCTTATATGAACTGTAAAGATAAACTAGTGCTCAAAAGAAATTATACAGTGTGCTTGACCAAACTTGAAAAAAAAAAGAAAACATATATAAATGAAGATCTGTTTAATTTCATTAGAGTATTCACGTCTACAGCAAATGTACACAATTTCATTTCATACAAAGTCAGAAATTATTGTTTTGACTGACACTGAAAGACACGTGGGTATCACTAGTCCTGAATGTTTTCAACAATGCGTTTTTTCTGCAAAATGTCATCAAATGTTGAATCTATAGTGAGTGTGACCCCCATTTGCTTCAATACAGGCCAAAACACGTCGACGCATTGATGACGTAAGACGAATGACGTTAGGCGTGATCCGTTACCATTCCTGTAGGAGACATTGGTCCAGTTGTAGAGTGGTGACAGGTGGCGCTGGTAATCTTCTGATTTGTGGATCATGGTAGTCCCATGAGTGTTCTGTATCGGATTCTGGCTGCGGCAAAGGCTTCACCATATTGGTGTTATGCACCCAAGCCGTTTGTCAGTCTTGCTGGCATGAGGCCTTGCGTTATTGTGTTGGTAGACAATGCCATGCGGATTTTGCTGGATAAATGGCAACATAACTGGTCGCAGAACCTCATCACTGTATCTTCTATCCTTCAGGTTGCAATGAATAATAATCGCACTTCTATTTTTTTAGATCGCCGCAGATTACTCCCCTCGCATCATCCGCACTACCAAGCTCTAAACGGTCGGACTTGCTGAACGTTCACCTACTCGTCTGTAAACATGACCCCGGCCCTAATTACTGTAGAGGCAAACCCTACTCTCGTCGGAGAACTTCACACGTCGCCAATGACGCATGTGCCAGCGTCGAACTGGCCTGGTCCATGTCAATCAACGACGTCGGTAGCACTCCGCGGTAGGGTCGACATGCTCGAATAGCATGTTGTCTTAGTCGCCAATACACTGTCTGTCGACTGATACGTCCTAGTGCCGTCGCTGCCTTTGACGTCGCCGTTACAAAACGATTTCTCAGATGAATTGTCCGGATGTGGCAATCATCACCGGGCGTTGTCACACGTGGTCTGTCCTTGGTCTGTCTGACGTATTGTCTGTTTGTCTTAGTCGTTGCATCAGTCTGTTGACAGTTGCTCGGACACAACCGAAGGTTCTGGCAATGGCGGTGTGGTTAGCTCCTTGGCCATTCTCTCTCTCTTTCGATTTGCCTCAAACGTGGCATATTTTACATCAGAATAAGTCGTTTTTGATTTTTTTGTGCGACGTTTAGGCGATTCGTTAACTTGTTTCGCCGTTTGTTCCCGGAAAAGTTGGGTCTGTAAGTGCCTCCATCAAGGTTTCTTTTGTGTTCCTTGGATTTTAATGTGACAGTCACAGTACAATGTTGGTGTCAGATACTATAGATTGGATACTGTTAGGTCCAGTTCCTGTGTGCAGGTACCTGATGTTTTCCATCGGTTCTCGATCTGGGCTCGTGGTGGACCACAAGATGGTGGTGATTGTATTCTATTGTGGTCCGGCTTTGTCGTCAGTGTAGACACACCTGGACGTCACTGCGGTCATCGAAATTTGGTTCGAAGATCAGATCAGGTGCTTGAGACACCGAAAGAAGCGGGAAGTTAGTGATCCTTACGACAGTTGATTGCCTAGTTTGCCGATGGTTTTGTGTCAGTACTTAATAACCGCAAGGTACCACCGTTGGCGGGGTTTTGAGAAATAAAGATGAAGAAGATGAAGATAATCACACTGCCACCTAGCCAACTATTCACCACCTTTCGCTATCAGATAATCCCTAACGAGAAATGTTGAACAATAATTCAAACTATAGGTTAGAATATGTGTAAGATGTACATGGATTTAGTGTCGACTGATAGTTTATTATTAACAAGTCGCATGAGGTTTATGGTAAGCGATCTACATATCCGTTATGAAACATTTACATACTCCTATGAATAACTGTTGGCGTTATTATCACCGTGTTATCAACTACATTCGCGCCTGCGCAACACTTATTTCCTTTTTAGGAAGCATTTATCTGACGATCTACTGTATAATAACATTTCCCCAAATCCTCAAATCATGTGCGTGTTCATATCTCTAGTTTCCAAGGTTCGAGGAAATGAAACCTGAATAAATAAAAGTTGTGTTACTCCTCGAGGTCAAGACAGTGTCCAGTGTAACCTGCGTACATGTACATGTACATTATGTGTGTACGTGTATGATTCTGCCATATGACTTCAATCCTTTCCTTTATATTACTGCCTAGAATGTTCTACCGTTACGTTGAAACCCCTAGGCTTGTGTGTAAATCATTGACATTTGTATTACAAGTACTTCATAATTATTTGACAAATCATACTTAAAAGCAAATGACCTTTGAAGACCACATCGGGAGCCCCGGCTCTTGCCTGGTCCGGACTCGATGATTAACAGGTCGCCGGCAAAGAGCTGGCACCTTGCAGCGTTACTGAGCAAACAAACAAACAAATGTGACCACATTCCTTATACAAAGCATTTCCTTACCCTCTTGGCAGCAGGTACTTGTCCATCCCTGTCTGCACCTACACTGACCAGTATTTTCATCAAACTCCCCTCCATTGAAGCAAATCTTGTTGCACGGTCTGTTGGTTTCGGGGGCATCGCCAATCGGCCTGCTCTGACATCGTTCTTGGCATACTTCCGAGGATTCGTTGTCATGACAACAACGTGTTCTGTTCCTGGTTTGGTACCCTCCACCACACGATCTACTGCATTCTCCCCACTCTCCCACACTCCAGTCACAGTCGGCCACACATGTTCCACGTGTAGAGTCGATACCAAGTGTTGATATGAGCAATATCAACAACAATGTCGACATTTTTCCCGAAAAGTGTATGACCCGTCACAGTTAACACCATTTATTGGACGTCCGTGTTTCTATGTATATGTGTTCACTGTCTGCTATCATACTCGTGTCTGTCTTGGGCAACCAACGCAGTGCATGTTATCATTGTGCAAGGGGCTTATCGCAGAGCTCAAACAGCGAATAGCAAAATAGGCGGTGCTATGTTTTGACTGGGTCCAATCAAATTTGATTAAAATATTACACATGGGATCTCCTTTCGAGTGTTTTTTTTGAGACTGTGTTCTCCACGTTCCCATAGCCGCAGTTCCTTTAACCGTTCGAAAGAGCCAGATCAAACAATGTATCTGAATTGAATATTGACAAATTGCTTCCAATGTGAACACACCCTCGTAAATTGTTTCACAGTGCTGATGCTACGTATGTAAACAGTGTTACAAGTAGCAGTAAAGTTAACTGCTACCACAGAATTCGTTTAGCCCATACCATAATGGTGAGAAGCCGCCTTTTCATTAAGTATGGAATCCGTGATAGACTTCAAGATCCAAGGCCTCAGAAGACAGTAGACGGATCAAAATATTTATTTGGAAATGAACTACGCAACACCCGCATTTTCTCAGACTAAGCAACTTTAATGAACAGGTGCATAAAATGTGTCAACTATGTCCATACCATATGAAGGTTGAAGTGAAAAGAAAGGGTTGAGGAAAATCATAGTCAAGATTACTATGACATAATCTGGTTTATAAGTTAGTACGGAATGTCTCAACCGCATTCTTTTACAAGAACTGGGTGGCAACACGTGCTCCGTGATGCCTATCGTTGACCTCCATAAAGAGGGGTCGTGTGGCTAGAAGATGGTCATCAAAATGTGGGACAACAACGCTAGAGAGGAAACCCTCTCAAGGATCTCCTGTTGATACCGAGGACCAGTGATGACACCACGAATAGTAGGTCCATCTTATGCATTCCCATACCATGATTGATCCTCACAAAGGGAACCGTCTCCTGAATATTGCAGTGAACCATGACTGTGTTCTTTTGTCCCCAGGACACGTGTACGACCATTCACCATGTGCAAAAAGAAACGAATCTCTTTGGAAAAGCGAACCCTCTGCAATGATGGAATGTTCCATCAAACACGTTGATTACACTTGCCGCTTTGTGAACTGGAGACAGTCCCCCTGTGTCCTGCTGATTCATGACAGCCCTGGAGGAAATGATTCTCCCTGGTAACCACTGTTGCCTTAACGATGTGTTTGAGTACCAGAAAAGGCGCCTACAAGTCTCATAAGTCTTCAGCATCATTGGTAGTGCTGTGTTTGTTGAAGAGTCTTGAAAAGATGGAAGGAATGCGCCCAACGTGATGTCCAATTTGGCTGAAGGACATTCCTGCATTTCCCATGCCTATAAGTTGCCGCCACTATCTATTACGACGTGCCATGACAAGCTATGGTACTAATTATTCAATCTAAATTATAAGGAGAGTGCGTGACATAATATCAGTAAAAACTTGATTTCAGCAATGTTGGGGGGTATATCATTTCACGTGCACTGAACATCTCCACAAAAAGCCATGCAAAACAGCAAGGTGCAAAATGTTAAGAAAACATTAGGGAACATGCTCTGTTTTCTAAATTCACAAACTTAAAGGCTATTAACTGTTGCTCAGTTAATTTCCATATGGATATGTACTCAAACTGGTGGTGACTCCCTCTAGCCAAGTAAGTTGGTGGTGTGTTTTATAAATAACTTAAGGGTTCATGGTTGACTATAAAGCACATTCCATATGGATGCTATGACGATACACATAATACCATCTACTAAGCTCTGTACAACCGAAACAACATCAAACACCTCTTCGGTATCAGACTGCGCAACAATATGCTTTACGATGTAAATACATTCATGTTGTGTTAGAAACAGCATGTTATAAGTATGCATATATAACTTACATCAGCTGTATGATACATCCCGTTGTAATTAGTACAAGAGAGAATTGGCTTTTCTTTGCCTTCACGACACTCAAAGTTTAGGTCTACAAACTCCAACAACACGTCAGCTTGATGACTATATAGTTATATTGTTTTAGGTGCACAAGATTATGTAAAATATATTTCATCACGTTTGGTCTGTCAAATGTCTATGTCTACAGTATATATGTGAGGGTTATAACGGGAACAGTGAAAGACCGTTCCTTATGGAAAGGCTCATGGGGTGGAACTTAAATCAATATTTGCCAGACACAATGTACTTCTGATAATGTCATTATTTTTTCATCATTATGCTGTACCTTTCACGAGTATAGTAGCCAATGACTAGTGATTCCCTACGTATTACGAGTCAAGAAACACCTTTTCCAACTTGGATCAACACTCCGAGTTTTCAAGATTTTCAAGATTTGTATGGTTTGTTGTTGTATTTTGGACGTTTCATTTAGCCGTCCTCTGTCGGTTCATTAAGGAATGAACACCACTGTCCATGACACAATATATGACACGCAGGCACCAGATCACCCACATTGAGAACCGCATCAACATTTACTTAGCTGATTATACAGACGTCAGCTATAAAGTCAAGATAGTTGTAACATGTTGCAAGCGGTTTTCCTACGACTGTGTAGAAGTTATATTCGCAGAGTCTACGTGTCTAAGTACATCACTCTCCTCTCAAAAGGGACCCTTGTTATCGACCGAGTCATGACAGATGATCCGTTCAAAGACTCAATATATCAAATCTGTTTTACCTTCGTAATACTTTTTTAAACAGATTTTAAGCATACAACAAATCAACATGACAATCGATTTTAAAAACGAAGTGTGTTGTCCCTGTTGCCTAGCATTTCAAGACATACAAAAACAATTCACTTACTTTGTGAGTGGGAACTGAGTCATAAATCCATTTTCTGCCACCATGTCCCTTCCACTGATATATCTGCCGAAACTTGAAACATTTATATATTTATGTATATAGATTCAGAGTGGCTAAAATCTCCCACAGGAATGAATTGCAAGAGGGAATACTGCAACACCACAGTCAACTTCCCCTTCATGTCGTACAATATCCCTGCAGTGCAAGCCTTTCGAGCCTACATTCCACATCTTTTGAGGTACAATCAGGTATACACTTTCTACGTAGATTTGAGTGCCATATGCCATACGAAATTGTTTGATCAAGATCAAGGCCCACAGGAACGTTTTAAAATGCTTAAGATGAAAGTATTTCAAATTTGTCCCGAACATGTGTACTTTCTTGTACGAATCTTTACGACCCGATCTGCTAAAATACGCCTCAAACGTCAAGGAAACAGATTTTTCTTTTAAACTCCCAACGGGGGCGCTTGTCGTTTCCTTTATTGTTTCTTGACTACAATATTATCGAGAACATTGTTAAACATCGTTGTGTAGAAGCTGTGGAAAATACTTCTAGTTATCCGACGTTAAACACAACAGTAACGCGATGAATTAATTAAGAATACACATGGATCACACAAATACTTCCAAGACAGGATCGACACATCAATGTTCGGCACAACCATGTTTGACTTTACCATACAGCTCAACATTCACACAAACCGAGGTGTTGTGACGTTGTAAGATCAAATCTGTTCCACAAACCGCTATGTCTACTTCGAAATATAAAGTAGTTAGTGTAACCCTGAATACTGTCTGTTTGACATCTCTGGTAAGAACAGTGCAGAGCAGATCGTTCGATTTCAATTGTATTATATATGTTTATGAATCCCTATCCGGTAGTGGTTATAACAGGTTTTAACGTATCTGTTCATAAGCATGGGCCAAAGGGTTTACTTGTTATTTATTTTGGTTTTCCCAGAGTTACAATCGTTTCAGTGGTACACCAGTATTGCCAGTACACACAGCAACAGCAATATAAACTCTGTCAAAAAAGAAACGCAACCCCTGTCCTCAGATATGAAAAATTCGTTTGAATGAAGTTATTGCTTCCAAACTAAATTTTATTCGAATGTATTGAAATGATACACGTAATTAATGAAGATTACCATCCAAACAACTGCATTTGTACGCATAAGTGTATTTTATTGCTTATTCCGTCACAACGCATGAAATGACCCTCATGGTGACTTCGCACCAAAAAACACATGCAAATCATGAAAATGGCAGTTAATGTAGGGGTGTATAAAAGCCCATGTGCTTCCGTATTATATTCATTCATTTGTCGCCGAAAAGCTGTGTTAAAATGCCACGATTGAGTGCTGCCGACCGAAATATCGCCATTGGTCGTGTTCAAGCCGGAGAAAGTTTTGGAACTGTTGCACGGCACCTAAATGTTCACAAAACAACGATATCCCGACTTTGGAGCCGCTACAACAACTTCAATTTGACCAACGATCGCCCGAGAAGTGGAAGGCCAAGAATCACGACCCCTTCAAGATCGGTACATCCGGTCCATCACCTGCGTAATCGGCATGCCCTACCAACCGTGACTGCCACACAAATACCAGGTTTGAGGAGAGGTCAGCTCAAACGATTAGGAACCGTCTGAAAGAAGCGGGTTTACGTGCCTGTAGACCAGTTGTTGGACCTGTACTACGCCCCCTACATCGACGCCGACGACTCAGGTGGTGCAACAACGTAAGGATACGGACTTTACAAAACTGGAGGCGAATCTGGTTTCTGATGAATCACGTTTTCTTTGCAACGTCACGACGGAAGACAGCGTCTGTATAGGAGACGTCATAACGTTTTGCGCCCATCTGCGTCCGACAGGTGGACAGATTTATGGAGAAAGCGTCATGGTTTGGGGAACCATCTCATACAACCAGAAATCAGACTTGGTGATCGTTCCAGGAACCTGACAGCCCAACGTTACATCAACCACGTGTTAGAGCTTCACCTTCTCCCGATTATTGACCAACAGACACAGATTTTTCAACGGACAACGCCCGGCCTCATACTGCACGTGCAACAATGAACTTTCTGCAGAATTCCAACGTCAATGTCTTGCCATGACCCTCTAAATCACCAGACCTCAAC